GTAAGAGAAAGGTATCCCGATATCCCAAAAGCCAGCCTCCTCTTCCCTCCCAACCCCCAGTGAACACAAAATAAATGGTACATAGTGTAACACCAGTTTCTATGTAGTTAAATATCATCAGTGTTGACGATGTAAATTCATTCAGAAGAGGCCTTTAATAGATATCGCAGTGGAACTATCGCAGTAACAAACATGGCAGACCTGTCACCTACACAACACAACATTTAAAAAAAAAAACTGTTTTAAGACAGTCAGAAGAGACCTTTCTAGTTAATGCACAGAGTTTGATGTTGAGAAATACACCAGCACTTTAATATAATAAGAATTTTTATTTCTCTAACAGTATATGATGTAAATGATACAAACTTAACTGGCATACTATAGAGACAGTCCCTGGTTATGTTAGTTTATTATGCACCCCAGACCCGTCCTGTGGGCGGTAGTCAAAAGATTACAGAGGTACATAATGGGTCCAGGACTAGGCCCCAAAGTTTTGATAGCTGAGCAAGTTACAAATGTAGTGGACTCCAGGTTATGCAGAGCATTTCTGGCAACTTAGGCTAATATTGTCCTCCAGGATGCCACCCACAACAGTCGACTAACGCCCGGGTACCTACTTACTGTTAGGTGAACATGGACAGCAGCTGTAAGGAAACATGTCCAACGTTTCCACCCTTGCCGGGGACTGATCCACAGACACTTAGTGTATGAGACGAGCGCGTTACCAACCCATCCACGGGACATCCACGCATACTAGATGTGCCACGCCTGCCCCCTGCCTCGTTTGGACGCACTCGGCTTACAGAACCCTGGCTATCATCCTTGGCTTCATCCACTGAAAACTGCCGGACTACGGTAAAGTTTAGCTGAGAGGCATTTGGGAGGACGTCCGGGAAGAACCGGGATTGTGGGAAAGGGGGGGGGGTGAGCTGGTACCTGTGGTTGTACATGGTAGCATCCTGGTGGCATGGTGAGCGATTTTGCAAATGGTCCAAGTTTGACCGAAAGTCGTCGTCAGCGCCTCTCCCGTCTGTGCAGGTTGTGTATTGTTCCAGTCACGGTATTGTGCCTTTTGTTATTTCTTCCTCTCAGAGGCCAAGAGCTATGACTCAAACCTCATAAGCAAGGCTTGGATGATGAAGGCCAATCCTCGATCGACTGCGGAATTGAAGGTGATTCAGGTTATATATACGAATTAGGTAGGGATGACTTTATATAAGAAGATGATTCAACAAACAAGCCTCTTAATCTTCAGTACTCAGTTGCAGGATCTGTGGAAGCAGAGAGTCATACGTAGGCAATGTATAATGCGATCTGAATACACTTAATCTTACAGATACTTTAAGCACGACCTTACCAGGTACTTAATGCCACTTGAATCTACAATACCTAAAGCCACTTAATCTATCAGGTACTTAAGCACTTAATCTCTAAGTTACTTAAAGCACACTTAATCTACAAGGTTTGTAAAGCCACGTTGAAGTACTAGGTACAGGTCACGCTCCTACTATAGGTTACTTAAAGCACACTTAGGCTACTAGGGTACTTAAAACATACTTAATAGACCAGGAGACTTAGAGCTCCGTAAGGACGTAAGTGTCCTTGTCAGAGATCGGGCCGCGAAGTGGGAGTGGCAATGCAGGGAGGAACGGCTAAGGAAAACAAAAAAAGATGCCGGGAAACAATAAGAGAAGATTAAAAGCAGTAAATATGCTATTATCAGCGGTGTGATACCCACATGAAGCACTAAACCCGCGTGGTTCATTCAAGACGTGATGGAAAGAGAGAGGGGAGCATTAGCATGGCAGCCTCCTACAGTGGTACCCATGGCATCCTAAATATGACGGGGAAATGGTGGACAAGAGAGCAGACTCAAGTGGGAGGATCAAGCAAAGGCATGGGCGTCCTCGCGAGCAACGCTGTCCTCTGGCGTAGCAACGTCCTCGTGGATGGCATTATTTTGCGCGGGGACATCAGGGATGGTATCATCGTTGGGGGGGGCTTCCATTCGAGCGGCATCGTCATAGGTGGCGTCCTCCTGCCTCTTGGGCAAAGTGATATTGACGACGATCACCTGAGTTTTCGTGGGGATGGAAGACGGAGGTGTCGTTATCTTCTTCCTGAGGGTGAATACTCTTATCACGCGCTGATTGTTTCCTTGGGGTGTCTGCAACGCCCAAAGGACATCGTTGCTGCAGGTGAGCAGCATCAGCACAGTGTTGGTGGGACCACTGGTGCTAGACAGCTCCAGGGCGGTGGATTTGAGGTCATGCACAGGGGTGGTGCCGTTGTACCGGCCAGTCGTCGAGTAGTAGTTGACCAGGTACGTGCCCATAGAGGAGTCCTGAGGCTGCTGCTGCTGCTTGTGCCCGGAGAGCAGCCTGGCAGGCACCCTGGGAGGGGTTGTTGGGGGCGGGAGAGGCAGCACCTCCACCACCAGGCCTTCCCGCCCCTGCACGTCCTCCCACTCGCCCTTGAGGGGGCAGTTGGGCTGGCCCTC